CACACACACACACACAATGCCCTGTCCTTTTACAATAATTGCAAGGCATTTCAAAAAAATTATGTGATGTGGAAAAAAACCCAGGATGCAGCGAAATAGTTGAAAAATCCATATATCTAGAATTACTGCTAGGCAATTACTTTACCTGCAAAATGACCAGCAATTATCTTCAATCATCATAACTATGACTGAGGCAAAACAAAGACAAAAAACAGAAGAAATGCCACATGACGTGACATCCATAGTACACACACACACACACACACACACACAAACACACACACACACACGTACACACACAGCTGCTAATGAGCAGTGGTGCCGGTCAATACAGCAAGCAGGAGGCACATGACATTTAACACAATGAAATATTGATGCACAGGCACATGGGGGTTGCGCACATTTGCAAACACATTGAAAAGCAAGTGACATATGTGCATGTGTATACACACACATGCATGCACACACACAAACACAACACACTCATATATATACAGAAAGTATTGCCAAAGTGCCACTTACAGGTTCTTGATCTCCACAGCTCCCCTGAAGGCTTTTCTTGGAACCCCCTGAATCTGGTTCTCGCTGAGATCACTGGACAGACAGATGTAGAGAAGAAGGGGAAAAGAGAAATAAGGTGGCAGAGAGTTAAGCCAAGCTGTCACAGAGCCAATTGCTTTGCAGCACAAGTACTTGATGTAATCACCAAAATGCAGCGGGGGAACATTGAGCAAAATTGAGTTCCTTGCACAAAGAGCACTGCTTGGCCAAATATAATCAGCTGTCTCTATTCATCTCTCAGTGAAACAAAAAACGCTTCCTCTGACAAGTGTCCACGTATCTACAGCCAGATGCAATTCAATTGTCTGCTTTGAACATCCATCCAACTCAGGTATAGGCATGCTTAAACAGCCTGTAGGGGGCAATAGTGACCTCTGCTTCCCTCAGAGCTTTCTGTTCCTCCTCTCATCTCTCCCACTCATCTCTGCCTCGCCCCCGCCAACCCCCCTCCTTCCTCTGCTTTTAAGGAGTGAGTGATGGATGTGTTTGTGTGTGTGTTTGTGTATGAAAGAGAGTGCTGGGGTTTCCAGAGATTTAATTTTCAGCCACTTTAACTAAGCTGCAGCTCGGAATATAGCAAAAAAAACAAAAAACAAAAAAAAAAACACACAAAATGCACTGCAGTCACATGTGTTCATGTTCATCTTCACTCACACAAGTACATAAATACAGTCAAAAACATGAACAGGTGTCTCACATTAACAAAATACACCGCCTGCAGCCTAATGAAAAACATGCTATCACTGGTCGGTATAGCAACTTCATTTAGTGAAGGACACTCACACTGGTGCTGAAGAATGTAGCCGCAAATAGTTACATGAAATGAGGTGTACAGTAAAGTAAGGTAAAGTAGAGGTATGTGAATGGATTCAGCTGTCTGGAGGATGCACATGTATCACACAATGTGAAATACAGATACTAAAAAGGAATCTGTATCATCTCAACCTCACTGGAAACCCTTTTGATATCTTAATGGTATCTCAGAGTGCTCAACAGTGTGTGTTTGTGTGTTTGTGCGTGTGTGTGTGTTGTCTGCCGCCAAGTTCCAGACAGACTTTCTGACCTTTCACCACTGACCCTCAAGCTCTTGACCTCCACCATGCTAATCGGCTAACAGCTAATACCCAGCCACATTCTTCACATTCCTGCGGGCGCAATCGTATAATGAGTGCTGCAGGTATCATCCATCTCCTGTGTTTACCACCTGCTGCTTATATACCTGCATCTGGAGTCTGGATAATTTGTCGCCAAGAATAAGGAAAATGACAGAGAGGGTGTTTAAAGAGAACCGAAAAGAGGACCTTGAGTGGTTGGGTCCTTGTTCTTAAGCATTATCTTCTGTAGCCTTATGTCCAAGTGAATAAAACTTTTGCAATCAAATGTAAAAGTGAACTCCTTTTTCCTTCAAGCCTGTAGGAGGGCGGGTTGGCGTGCCTTCCAGATTGACAGCTGGGAACGCAGGGGCACAGAGATGCCATGTAAACAAACTTTTTCCTCCTCTTCCCTTATTAGCAAAGGAACAGATGTTATGTTAGCAGTAGTACTGGAGAAAAGGGGACCTCACCGTTCTGCATCTACACCCACTGATCGTGACACCTGCAAGTAAATGTTTAAGACGTTCAAATTGCTGCAGGTGACACGCAAACAAGCTATCTGTCTCCTATAGCAAGCCAATTGCAAGACAAAATGTGTTTCTATACTTGTGGATAGGATTGAGATGTTATGGCTAGGAAGTTGCTCTGTTGCTGCAGTTCACTGCACAGTGTCTGTGACTCTTTAGCATCCATGAAGAAGACTGTGATCTGGCTGTCAGTCAGTCTAACTGTCTAATAACAAAACAGTGCTGCTTTCTTTTAAAAAAATATATTTTGGGGGGCTTTTTCCCCGTTATGAGACAGGACAGCTTAAGAGATAGACAGGAAAGGGGGGGAGCGAGGGGGGGCATTCTAACCCATGGTCGCTGCAGCACGGACTCATGGTACATGGGGAACCCAACATACTACTTTCAGCAAATACAATTCAATTTAAAAATGTATTACAGTTTTGACAAGTGCTCAGCAAAAATGTAAAACATGTTCTGGTTCCAGAAACTCAAATATGAGGATTTACTGCTTTTCTCTGTTTTAAATCATGCAAAGTTATATACATTTGCATTTTGGACAGGTGGTCAGACAAAACAAGCAAGCTGAAGACATCAACTTTGGCTTTGGGAAACTATGACGAGCAAAATAAAATACATTAACTGGCTGCAGACTAGTTCTCCTTCTCCATCTGGTACATGTACATAATTTAAATGTATGTATGCATGTTATGTCCTCAATATATATATATAAGGCATCGATACCTAATATAATTTAAGTTTGACTACACATATGCACTCATACATTCGCAGCTGTACCTTCACACACACACACACACACACGCACACACACACAGCAAGTTCACATTATGTTTCAATGCTTTCTGATGCTGAGATCAATTAACATGAACCTATAATAAGACTTTACAAACAGAGGTAGATAAAACAAACCTCTGTTGTTTTACACATAGAACACAAACACATGTGTGCTTCTCCTCATGATGCCGCACACACACACACACACACACACACATGCACATGCACAGCGGCTGGTCTGAATCAAACAGAGTGTATCCTGATACTGTTTTTACAGGACCAGGGGGGTTTGGAAAACAACTGTGCTCCTTTAACCGCTGGAACTCTAAAACCAAATAAACTTTCTGAAAGTGCTCCTTAACCCTACACACACACACACACACACACACACACACACACACTCACACACTCACAAGAACATGCACACACAGCAATTTACAGTCTTCATTCACTTCATCTGCCTGTAGAAATCAGTAAAAACTTGTTAATGTGTCACATGTGAGGAGCTGACAGTTTGACAGTTAGTATGTCGATGTTTTAGGCCGCACACAGACCTCATTGTAAACGACAGCACATGGTCAACTCATCTCGGCCAAAGTGTGTTTACACACACGCTTAACATTTTTGCTTGGGAAAGTAAAACTCACTTCTCTGCCACAATTATAGTAATGCAGCTACAGTAAACACCGTAAGAAGGTGGCGGTTTTAAGTATATGATTGGTACATGAGAGAGGTGGAGTCTGTAGTATGTACACTCTGTATGTGTGTTTGACATATACATTTATCTTCTGATGCACTGAGATGATTAAAAATTGATTTTTCACGTCCCTCTGTCCCTGTGATCTACGACAACAAGGAAACAGCACACACACGAACACACACACAAACAAACACACACAAACACACACATGCATACATAGTACATGCATACACATGGGATTGGCAGTTTGGGTTAGTATGGAGCGCTTAAGGAAGTGCAGGAGGCCACTCTAAACCCTATTCATCACTCAGACCACCAGAGAGAGAGAGAG